ATCAAGGCCATCAGCATGATGGTACTTTTCTCACAAACTAGGATCAAGTTCATACAACCCCAGTTGACTAACTGAACAAATATCAACAGTAACATTGTGTATATAATAATAATAATAATAATAATAATACGTAAAGTGAATGACTATTATTATTATGATTATTATTGATAAAGTTATTGATTTTTTAGGATAAACAATGTCCAGCTTATAGTTTTGATTCCTATCTATATCCGTTGACATTCAGACAAAATAGGATAATAAATAAATCATAGATAAAAACTTTTTGAATAGTTTGCATTAACCTTAAAAAAAAGTTCAAATTAAAATCTGCCTCGTTTATTATTATTATTATTATTATCACAATATATCACACAACCCAATGTCCGCGTATCATTATCAATCAATAAAATTTATAGGGACAAGGATAGATAATACATAGACATATATATATATATATACACTACAGAAAAGATATTTATCTATCTATCTGTTTATTTATTGATATATAAACAAAGCATTTTTGATACAATTCTCAAAACAATTAAACCATATGTGTTTACTACATAGAACACCATTTACCCAGTCATTATTCACTGACAAAATCAATAGCCCATTATATAGTGAAGTGACACTTGAAAATCGAACAGGATACAAAACGTTTAGTCGGTCAGCTGTAAAAATTAGACTAAATACTGATAATGATGATGTGTAAATGATAAATGAGGTTTGTGTTTTATTACTACTGCTCTTAACTAATGATGATACTTTTGCCAACCTACGTCATTTATGGTGTAGGCTAGATATCCGCATAGCTAACCGAAGTACGAGTGTACTGTCCTACTATAATTGGGTGATAAGCATAGCCAGTAAGAGTAGAGAATATTCTTAGGTTACTGGTTTTTGAACATAGGTGTCGCCGAAGCATTGCTCATACATCCTGGGATTATCGAGTATGCACGGTTGACTGACCGACTGATCCTTCTTACTGTTGTGGTGTATGAAGACGTGGAAATCAGGTGGAATAATGGTAAATTTGGGGAAGACATAGTTTGTTAAGAAAATGTGCACGTCTACTCTTTGGCCTCCACCGGTACAACAAGCACATATTAGCTGTCTACTTCTACATGTCTTCTGGTCTTCAAAACACTATTTCCTTCCTGGGTAACGCTCCACTGCATACTATTTAGAAGTCATATTGCACGAGTATTGAATTGAATGATTGAGGTTTAATCGCAAACAAACAAAGTCTCACAAAACGACGTAACACATAGATAAAACAATAAACAGCATAATGATAGAGCGGTGTAAGAATGAACAAAATAACGAAAAAAATCAATACATTTACCATTTTGACGTCCTATGCCTGAATCAGCAATACCAAGTGAACCGGACGAATTAGGATGTGATGATCGATTGGAACTATTGGATCTTTGTACAAATGATGATGATGATGATGATCTGTTGTTAGTAGTAGTATTCTGTTGTTGTTGTTGTCCATTAGAATTGATTGTTGAAATATTATTGGTTGGTGAATTACATCGTCCAGAAGTTGATGATAAACGTAAATTAGAATTTAAATTAGAATTTGTTCCATATAAACCATTACTAGCAAGATTAGTTAATTCCACGCGTAATTGTTCACGTACACCAATTTCATCAAGATACCATGCTGCAACATCTTGTAGACTACCACCGGCTGTTGGATCCGGTGCACCTAATTGAATGAATTTCAACATGTAAACAATAGTTCTAGATAACATTCATTAGATGAATTGTAATTAAGAATAAGGAATGAATATATCTGTTATACTATGGCTTGTTTTTCGCCGGTTATTGGTTTTCGACCACAGGTGTATTCGAAGCATTGCTCGTATATCCTGGGACATCCGAGTGAGCAACGCTGTTATTAAGAAACGGGTGCTAGGTAAGAATGGCAGATCAATAGATGAAGTGCTGAAGCTTCATCAGTTGAGGTGGTTGGGACATGTGTTGCGTATGCCTAACCACCGACTGCCTCGACGAGCTTTGTTTTGTAGTGTAGGAATAGGTTGGAAGAAAGCTAGGGGCGGCCAAATCAAAACATGGCAGAAATCCATGAAGTCACTGACTAGTGGACTTAGCCATGTCGGTAGTTGTCGACTACTTGGTTGGGGTCAACGAGATGATAATAATCGATGGTTAGAGATCCTGAATGACATGGCTCAAAATCGTTTGCAATGGTGCCGGTGCATTTATTCTCTGTGTTCTCTCAAATCTTAATCTTCTGGATTCTTCAACACCACTAGTTTTGTCTTTCTAAACTTATCTCATTGAATTATACTTCTTGAATAATATCTTCTAATCCTAACCTCTCCGACTACTTTTAATACCTTTACTACCTCTACTACTATTGGATTTGAATTGACAATTACATCTCTGTGTTAATGTGGTATGGCGACATGGACTGATGTACTTACGTACGAAGTTCTACGTTGCATCTGACTGACTGACTTCCCCTTAGAAAATGAATCTATTTTTTGATCCATGGTATACATTCATCTTTCAAGACATTATTGATTGTTATCAACAAGTGACCGTTTTGTCCGGTTACTTCTGATTTACTCTTCATGACATTTACCTAAATTGTTCAGATTAGTAGTTCGCATTGACTGTGATGCCAAGGTTTTGGTTTGGCCGCCCATAGCTTTCTCCCAGTCTACACTTATATCACACAGACAACATCGCTCGTCAATGCAGTCAGTGGTTGGGCATTCGTAATATATATTCCAACAACCTCAACAAATGAATTCTCACTTTTTCATCTGTTGATCTGCTATCCTTACCTAGTACCCTTTTTCCTAATACAAGCATTGCTCACTCGTTGGTCCCAGTATAAACGACCAATGTTTTGAAGACACCTATGCGACAGAGTTTGAAAATATGAACTGAATATTGGAACCAATGATGGCTAACCCTCCCTCCTATTGAGATATGGAATACCATCATCAACTCACTCGAATCACTACTTGTAAAACTCTGAAGTTGTAAACAAGATCATCATATCATAATACACTGTGTTAATTTAATCCTTTTTATCTTGATAAAATGTAAAAGTGTGTTTGTCAGACAAAAAATTAATTAATCAACCGTTAATTCTTTTAATCGTCAAAAGTAACGATTTAACTCCGCCTGGAGCCCTTCTATAGTTACTACAGCCGGTCCCAAGACCGGATCAATGAGGAGGAAGGTTGGGCTGAGGGGTTAGCAGTGACCTCATCGCGTAGAAACCAAACGCTAACCAGAAAAGAAAATAATTCACTGCTCTGCGACCTTATACTCCACTAAGAGTAACAGGCATAAGTAAGAAAGTAATAGTTATGATTTAAATTAAATGTTTTGTAAAAAGGAACAAAGAAGGAAGCATTTATTCTATAACAAACAAAATCATATTTGAATGCATGTGTGAGCGTGTGTGTATGTGTGTCTGTCTGTCTGTCTATCTGTGTGTAAAATTGGCAATTCAAAAGAATAGTACTTGGATTTTTTAGTCAAGCGCACTTAATTCATTAGAAACACGTGCGCACATACATGTTAAATAGTAGTAGTTAACTAAGGCTAAAAAAAGAAGATTCAGTAAATGCGTTATCAAGACAATCACCAACTAGTTTTTTTTATTCAATAATTAATTAATTACATACATTTAAGCCGAAATGGTAAAAAATACTGTTCTCAAAACAAAGAAACATCATCACAAGATGATATGCCATACATAATATGTTGTACAAAAAATAACTGATGATAGGAATTTGCAATGTATAAAAATTACTTCACAGAAAATCAATCATTAGGTAAGTAAGTATGCAAGGGTAGTTTATTTGTGTTCGTTTTCAAGTGAACCAGACACGGTCCATGTGGTTGATACGATAACCACCTGTGGCGCAACCAACCACCACACAGGTACCTGACACCCTGGTCAGTCAGTCAGTCAGATGCAACATAGAACTTCGTACGTAAGTACATCAGTTCATGTCGCCATACCACATCAGCACAGAGATGTAATTGTCAATTCAAATCCAATAGTAGAAGAGATAGTAAAGGTATCAGGAGTAATCGGTGAGGTTAGGATGAGAAGATATTATTCAAGAAGTGTGATTCAGTGAGAAAAGTTTAGAGAGTTGGAACTAGAGGTGTTGAAGAATCCAGAAGATTAGGATTTGAGAGAACACAAAGAATAAATTCACCGGCACCATTGCCAACGATTTTGAGCCATGTCATTCAAGGTCTCTAAGCATCGATTATTATCATCTCGCGGACCCCAACCAGGTAGTTGACAACTACCAACACGGCTAAGTCCACTAGTCAATGACTTCATGTTTTGGTTTGGCCGCCACTAACTTTCTTCCAACCTATTCCTACACTACAAAACAAAGCTATTCGAGGCAGTTGGTGGTTGTGCATACGCAACACATGTCCCAACCCACTAAACTGATGAAGTTTCATTACTTCATCTATTGACCGGCCATTCTTACCTAGCACCTGACACCCTGGTAGACCAGACACACCATTCATGTACACTAGTACATGTATACTGGTTATTTCCGAGCAACGATCACATGAACATGCCAATTTAACCCATCCCGCTTACATGACTGTCACGCTCATCACAGTATCTCAAGGACAGTGGCCCTAGGGAATGCAGCAAAACAACCACCTTTAGTAATCAGTGAAATCAGCCACCCTGGCAAACCAAATTTTTATATGGACAACTAGCACGACTTGTCTAACTAATGCCAAACCATCCACTATGATCATCACAACGTATCGCTGGTCTCATAGGAAAACTTCAACTCTAGTGTGTAGCAACACACCTCACGGTATATACATTGTATAGCATGGGATAATAAGTTTGACGCATAACAGTTCAAACACACTTTGTCTCAATGTCCGGACATTATTCATGGATAGATTAAAACTGAAAATTGACCAACCAACGCAATAAATCATCATAGAATCAACTAGTTAAACTGATTGATTGATTGATTGATTAATTGATTGACAGAATAGAAACAACATTAGTGAATTTGTTATGTAAGAACAAAACAACAACATGGAAATTGTGGAATAATGAGTGGGTAAATAATCATGTAACAATATAGAAAATAAACAACAGAACATGAAAACTTACTTTAATTGAATAGATATACACAAAAACCTACAGGTCTATGATTTGATTCAATGATGAATAAATATAAATTAGATTTTGTTTTAAAACAGGATTATTTTTGGTTTGGGCCAGATACGATCGAGAGTAGGGAGAGTGCTTTTCCTCACTCACTCATTCGAACTGGTCCTCATTTACTCATGTGTATACAGCCACTGTCAAGAAAGTCCTACTCAATACCTAAACAGACAATCAGTAGTCAGTCAGTTACAACGTAGAACGTCGTACGTATGTAGATCAGTTGAAGTTGTCATAACACATTGGCACAGAGACGCAATACCTTATCACCACTAGGGTGCTGTTTATGAAACTGAAAGCTAGGAAAGCAACTTGTTCGGCGCATTATAATCAGGTTGGTAGGTACAGAGGATCCACTTAGTCCAGTTGGGAAACTGTCATTTCAAACCAACAGTGCACATCAGTTCCACGAATTTGATGGAACAATTGATGTATGAATCGGTTGTTGATCATCAGCTATCACTGGACTGTAGCTCCTGACGTTGCTTCACTGCCTTGTGCATATTAGACTTTTGGGTTAAAAGTATATCTAGTTCTTTGGTGTTGATCAAATTCTGTCGAACAACAACTAGCAGTTGCAGCGATACTGCATTCTCATAAGGAAGGACAGGGTCGACTCTAAAAATGTCACACCTCACCTTACTACATGGATTTCCGTCTCTGGTGGTAAGGCCATTTGAAGAGTGGAGCTAACGCTTTCGAAGCATCCCATCAAAAGGCCGCGCGTGACCGGCCCCAAGCAGTTGTCCCTTGGAGTTTGTGGTCACGCTTGCAGGTCTCTATGGCCACCGTTAATCTAGCCTCCTTTTCAAGTCCCTCAAGAAATATCCTTCAACAGTGTGCGCAGTCGAGCATATGATTGGAAATCCAAAATTTAACAAACTCTAGATGATTGTGTAATGAAGTCAGTCAGTCAGTTGCAACGTAGAACTTCGTACGTATGTACATAAGTTCATGTTGCCATACCACATTATTAGCACAGAGACGCAAATGTCAAATCAAATCCCATAGTGATAAAGATAGTAGAGGTATTAATGTTATAATAAAGAAGACTAGGGTTTAAGATATTATTCAAAAAATAAAATTCAGTGAGATAAGGTTAGAAAGACAAAGGTAGAGGTGCTGGCTAATCCAGAAGATTAGGATTTGAGAGAGCTCAAAGAGTAGATGCACCTGCGCCATTGCAAACGATTTTGAGCCATGTCGTTCAAGGTCTCTAACCATTGATGACTTTCGTCTCGCGGACCCCAACCAGGTAGTATACATCTACCAACATGACTCAGTCCACTTGTCAGTGACTTCATGGATTTCTGCCATGTTTTGGTCTGGCCGCCCCTAGCTTTCTTCCAACCTACTCCTACACCACAAAACATAGCTCGTCGAGGCAGTCGGTGGTTAGGCATTCGTAACACATGTCCCAACCACCTCAACTGATGAAGTTTCACCACTTCATCGATTGATCTGCCATCCTTACCTAGTACTCGTTTCCTAACGACAGCATTGCTTACTCGGCTGTCCCACGATATACGAGCAATGCTTCTTAAACATCTATGATCGAATACTAGTAACCTACGAACATCTTCTACTCTTAACGGCCATGTTTCACAGCCATATAAGAGAACGGAACGAACTGCTGCGCAGTACACCCGCCTTTGGTTAGCGAACGGATATCACGCCTACGCCATAAGTGACGCAGGTTGGCAAAAGCCAATCAAGCTTTCTGTATCCGAGCTGAGATTTCGTCAGTCACCAGACCGTCAGCACTGATGAGACTCCCCAGATAAGTGAAGTGATCTACACGCTCGACTACTTCACTCCCTATCACTAGTTCAGGTGCCGAAGCAACCCAGTCTTGAAGCAACATTTTGCATTTCGAGGGGGGAAAACCGCATCCCGAACATGCTCGCATTGTTGCTTATGGTAGTCAGAAGACTCTGCATTTTGTCAGCGTCTTCACCGAATAGAACTATGTCATCGGCATATTCTAGATCAGTAAGCGACTTTCCTGGTAGAAGGTCAACCCCTGAAAAATCTGACGAGCTTAATGTTAACTCTAAGAGGATGTCTACGACAAAGTTGAACAAGAATGGAGAGAGTGGACATCCCTGACGGACACCACTTGATGTAGAGAATTCAGATGACAGTTCGCCATATGCTCTCACCCGACCAGTGGTGTTCGAGTAGAGTGCTTGTATAAGGTTAATGTACTTCTTCGGTACACCTTTCAATGACAGACACTGCCACAGAACCTCACGATCCACTGAGTCGAATGCCGCCTTAAGGTCCAGGAACACGACTATTGTCGGACGTCTAAATGTGTGTCTGTGTTCCAGGACCTGTCGTAGTGTGAAGATGTGGTCTATACAACCACGTCCAGGTCGAAAACCAGATTGGTTTTCTCGAGTCTGCTCTTCGCGAGCTCTAGTTAGACGCCTAAGTATAATCGAGGCTAACAATTTAGAAACTATATTAGTTAAACTTATTCCCCTGTGATTGTCACAAGAGGACTTCTGTCCTTTCTTGTAGATTGGGACAATTAGCGACTGAGACCAGTCAGATGGGATTAGGTCCAGTTCCCAGATTCTACCTAGGATCTCGGTCAGTTTAACCGTTAAAACTGGACCACCATCCTTAAACATCTCAGGGGTAAGCCTATCGGGACCTGCCGCTCTACCTCTCCTTAGATTTCCTATAGCCTTCTCAACTTCATGTAAACTGGGAGGACTTAAATCGATTTGCCATTCAGGATGACTGGAGATCGTGGGTAACCGAAGAATGGCTGAAGGCCAGTTGAACTGATCCCTAAAGTGTTCTGCCCATCGGTCCAGCCTCCTAGATTGAGAATGGATAATAAGACCATCCTTTTCCGAGATAGTCTCACTTACATTCGGGTTCCTAATACCGGTTTCTTTGATAAGGCGGAAAAGTTGTCTAGTGTTGCCGATCGCCGCTGCCTTTTCCATCGCTTTTGCTTTCGCCACCCACCACTGTTCGCGGTCGTTACGCAGACTTTTTATAAGTCTGCGCCTAAGCTGACTACGCTCTTCATCATGCTCAGAGTCAGGTGGGATGAGTTTTCGAGCATCCATCAGTTCGGTGGATGCGACTGAAATCCATGGCTTCATTCTAGCCTTATGGTTTACCTTACTAGCAGATATCACTGCTGTTTCCACAGCCTTCTTGATATGATTCCAACCTGCTTCAGGATGGGAATCACTTACATCGTTGCTTAACTCTCTTTCTAGTTCCTCCTGAAATATTTTCTTAGCTTGATTATCATCAAGTAAAGCCCTAAGAGGCTTCCTTACGGTGTCTTTCCTACGTCCAGTAAGCCTCAAACAGATACGAGCTCTCACTAGGGCATGATCTGAATCCAAACATGTGCCCCAGAAAGAGCGACAGTCTTCTATCGAACCCCTCCATCGGTGGCTGATGGCGATATGATCTAGTTGTGTCCAACGTTGAGACGACTTCGGGGGTCGCCAGGTCAAAAGGTGTTTTTCCTCATGCTTAAAATTAGTGTTTGCTAGAAATAGTTGGTTATCTGAGCACAGTTGCAACAGACGGTCGCCATTGTCTGTTCTTTGAGCCGCGAGACCGTAACATCCACCTAGGTGTCTTTCATTTTCTCTTAGTCTACCTACTTGTGCATTGAAGTCACCAGCCATTATAACTATATCAGAGCGCTTAACTTTTTGGAGGAGGTCCGAAAGCTTTCTGTAAAACTCATCTTTTACATCATCTGGGCTGCAGTCAGTGGGGGCGTAGGCTGATATGACGAAGAGGCAACGGCGAGTGTCCCTATCTTTCCGAGTCCTTACTGTCCCGTTCAGTCGGACGGCGCACAAGCGACTATCTATTGGGATCCAGTCAAGGAGAGATTGTTCTGCCCTACGACTCAATGCTATACCTACACCGGCGAGGCCCCTAGAAGCAGCATCAGGGCTACCGGATACACGAAGGGTAAATCGAGCTGCTTCTTTATCTTGACATGGTGAGGTCAAATGAGTGATGCTACTCGGATCCTGTATGCGCGTTTCCGAGACGCAGCACACATCGATGGAACGAGATTCTAAAGTCCTAGCTAATGATGCCTGTTGCCCTATTTGACACAATGTCCGTACATTAAATGCTCCAACATGTAGTTTGGAACGGGGTTTAAGGAGACCAGGAACGACGTTTCGCAAACTCGCATCGTTTGCATTAGCTGTGCACTGTAATAAATGAATGTGAGAAGAGTTAGTTGTGGAGGTAAGAGAGGTATTAGGGAATGTAGGAAGGATTTGATTTTGAACAATTTTGTCTCGTGTGTTGTTGCGGGTATGAGGGCGGTTATCACTTCCCGGCTGCCCACACCGTGGAAGTGTAATGAAGTAACCGCGAACAAATTTACGACAATCAAGAATAATATAAGTTGAAATCAGTCAGCCCTCACTCGGTATCCTCAAGGCCAAAGAACAAATTACGCCCAGAATTGGAAGCAGACATGAAAAGAATGAACACCAATTACGGTAAAACCGGAAAGGAGGTCCCAGGACACAGTAGGTTGTAGAATCTGGGTTGGCAGTCTACGCTCCATTAAGAGTAACGGGCTTAGGTAAGTATGTAAATAAATTATGTGTACAAGATAATATCATTGGCATAAAATAGGTACGCACATACATCACTAACTGGGATAAAAAAGCATTTATTGCATTCCGATGAGGTCAAGACAAGTTGTAGTGGTGGTGGGAGGGTTAGAGCAGAAGAAAAAAAACCTTGGGATTTAATTATAATTGATGTGCGCTAAGCAAACAAATTTATGCACACACACGCACAAATACATACACACACACTTATAATAAGCAGGAAACATCACACCGAACATAAGGGTGGGGACATTATTTATACAGTAAACATGATAAAGCACATTATGTGTAAATAGTAGGTTGAGATGAATTTGAATGACAAAAGCTCTGACAGACAGAAAGAGATTCTAATCACACACAAAAGGATGATGATGATTCACGTAAAAAACACACTCATTCACACGTACATCATGTGTACAATATTCTTTTTTTTTAAAAAAAAAACAGGCATTCAACCAATACACAAATTAATTACATATAATATTGAGTGTTTTACTTCAAAACTGGAAATCATTATAAAAAAAAGGGAAGCAAGCAGTCAATCTGATAACCGCAACCCTACCGTGATGATCAATCAATCAATCAACCAATCAAGCAGTCATTTCTGATTGGCCAGTTTTCTAAATCATCCACCACAAACAACAAACAGAATCCGCAACTTCCACAATCTGTTCAGCATAGTCAAAGTCAGCTAATTTAACATAACAAATTGAATTCAATGCAGTGGATGATTGAAAGAGTATAATTCATGTAATTTTACAATACAACATTCAACTTGACTTACCCGATGTTTTGTTAATATTCGATTCAGGTTGAAGTAATTGATCAGCTAATTGTTGTGCACTGGGTAAAATTTTATTTGGATGTGAAGCAATTAAATATTGAGCGAATTTTTGCAATTGACTACGATTCATTCGAACCAAAGCATCTACAAAGATAGATAGATATACACATATATATAGATAACACAGATGTTGGATGAATTCACAACAATAATAAATGAAATATTAGGCGTAATCTATGCCAGTGTTGGTTTGTTGTTGTGTGCACACAGGCTAGCTCATATACTTTTCAAGTATTATCAACATACAATTAATTTTGTTAAAATAGACTTGGAATAGTTCGGTTAATACCCCCCCCCTTTTAGTTTAATACTCATATAAATCATCCATTCTAAATAAACATCTCTAGACACAGGTCGATCAATCACATTGTGGAATTGTGGCTGAGCAGCACATGAAAATCTGATTTGTATTGAATCAGTTAGTGAAATCGTTTACAAATAGTAGCCGGGAAGCATCATCACTAACGCTAATAAAAATTTAGTCAATATTTTATTAAACCGAATACAGTTGGCACGTAAAACTAGTAGTAGTTGGAACTTTTTATAGCACTGATCCAATAGAGATGTTTTCTGGAACACTTTTTCGCTTCATGTCGAATAAACCGAAGAGGTCTATTGAATAGTATTGAATCTAAGCTCAAGAAATTTTGAATTTAAGGAGGAAACTATCCTGTTAAACATCATTTTCACCAAGTGTTTTTTAACAATGTAACAAAAGAGATTACGAAAGATCAGTCGTGTAAATACCACAATAAACCACAAATTTCCAGCATACTCGTGTGATCAGGTTTAACAATCCAAACTAACCAACTACTACACCAAAAACCAATAACAAAACAATTCCGAGTGTGATCTGATGATCCTCAAGGAGTTATAGCTTGTGACCTACGAGATCACTTGCCTACATTCATAAGACCATTCATTGCCAGATACACTAAAACCATTCCGTTATATAAGGACAGTTGTCGGCAGGTATCAGTCATTTATAGAGTTAGAGTTACAGTTAGTAATCCCCCCGCCCCCCGACAGCATACCCAGAGTGACAACATAAAATCAATTAGTAAAACAACTAATATAACTGAGAGAATATGTTATCTATCAAACAAAATTAGTCATAGACAATAAAAGAATGCCACAATACACAAATTCACTTAAAACAAAGTTGATATAAACAGTGCAGTGTTGTTTCAAATGAGAAAATACAAAAAAAAAGTCAATAGACACGATAATTGCAAATACGAATTATTAGTAATAATTAATTGAAATGATTAAAATTCTCTTTCAACAATACTAATCCTAACCCTAACCTAACCTAACTTAACTTGACTAACTAATTGATACGTAGAAATATGTACAACAGTAAGTGTGTGGTGAATCATTGAATTTTTTCTTTATAGGGAAATGCCATGTGGAATAAGAAAAGACGATAATAAACGATAATAATAATAATAATGGTCTCATTGACGCCAGTGTTTTTGCTTTTTTCCATTTAATGGATTAGATGCGCACACACAGAGAGAGAGAGAAAAGAAAGCAGAGAAACTGTCAGCAAGCTTATTGCAGTTTTTGCTTTCAAAACAAACATTCTACATTCTCTTATGGTAATTGACATTACCAATAATAATAATGATAATAGTAGTCAATATTAATACCTACTACCAACAACACTAATCATCATAATACTGGTATGTTCTATTTAGGCTTCTAAGTACAAAACTGAAGGTAGTTTTTTTTTTAATCCAAGAGGAAATCGATTCCGATGACATATTTCTACATAAAAATATAACTTGCTTACACATACATTCGCCCGTATGGCAGAAATGCGAAAAAAATGTAATAAACTATATGTGGAATAATATAATAAAGAATTCATTTTCTAATGTGGGTTAGATCTTTAGTTGAGAGAAGGCATTGAAGAATACGGGAGACAAGTTAGTCAGTAAGAAGCGAGAATATTCGTAGATTACTTGTATTTGACCATAGGTTTTTTCGAAGCGTTGCTTGTATATCCCGGGACCACCGAGTGAGCAATGCTGGTGTGTTAGGTAAAGAGTACTGGGTAAGGATGGCAGATCAATAGATAAAGTAAGCATTCATCCGTTGAGGTGGTTGGGATATATTTTACAAATGCCCAGCCAACGACTGTCACGTCGAGCTATATTTTGCGATGTAGGAGTAGATTGGAAGAAAGCTAGGGGCGGCCGAAACAAAGCATGACACAAATCCATAAAGTCATTGACAAGTGGTTGAGGTCGCTGAGACATCCCAGATGCATCCATTCTTTGTGTTCTATCAAATTTTAATCTTCTTTATTCTTCATCACCTTTCTCTGGACTATTTTCTTTGGACCCTGATCTTCTCGATTACCGCTAATACTCCTACCACTATGGGATTTGAATTGACAATTACGCTAATGTGGTATAGCTACTTGAACTAATGTACGTACGAAGTAAATAATCAATGTTCTATAGTTTTTAATGGTACTTGTGTTATTAACCAAATTCAACTGAACAAAAACTAATTAAACTACTAAATGATTCACTTGTACAGTTTTTTAGTCTGTTGTCAACGAATATCTTGGAACACAAATATAAGTTAGTTCGAGTTCTCATGCGCACGATGAGATAAAATCAGGAAGGACGTTGTAGGGCAGCGAGGAAGGTTATATATGATACAAAACGACCGAATGGGAAGAGGTTTTTTATGAAAGTAAATTGTAAATTTAAGTTCGAAAGGAAGATAAGAAAGGGGATGAACTTGTACCACTGACAGTTGATTCAGAGCCACACCATCTAAAGTCACTAGGCATTGAGTGCAGCAATCATGGACACCTCAACTGAATGTTTCTAAATCGATCCACATGACTTAGACTAACAGTCAATGAGTTCGTGAACTGATGTCACATTTGGGTTGAGGCTCTCTCCAAGCCCCCTTTTTTTAACACAACCTACTCCCATTCCTGCAAAACATCATTTATTGAGGTAAATGATGCCTAAGTATATGAATGTTACCTATATATCTTCATTAAACTTAACTTATCAAAAATTAAACAAATATTTTCATAATCTGTTACAATCAATTAAAAAATTTCAATGATAAAATCGATCAAACACCAAGTTTACTTATTTTAAAAGTATGCTGAACATTATTTCTTCTTTTCTATTCAAATACATTTATTTATGATATCACACAGTCAGCTGACTCAAATTTATATCTATCTATATATGAATTTGACAATGCATGTATAGTTAGTTGTTTATTTATCAGCTAAATAAGATTATATTCACAATAGAAAAATCACGAACTAAAAAACTTAGCAGCTAGACCATAATATATTAAGAAAGCTGAAAGTTTTAATTAATTAGTCATGATGAAAATTGTAAACAATGGAGGTTCAATGCATGTTGAATAAGAGAGACAGTGAGTGATTCACCGTAGGGGCAATGGATGAAGGTTGAACAAGATCATGGATTGATAGAACTTAGATATTAACACTATTCGGTTAAACGTTCTTGCGCGAGATCGAAGGTCCTGAACGTGTGTGGATGCGCATTGATGAGCAACCTACATACTACTAGGACGAGACAGCAAGCAGTTTAGTGCTTCCAGGGTTCTCTAGAAGCGGTCAAGCTAAGATTATTAGTTCGTGATTTCATCGATGAATAGATATGATTGAATTGAAACACTAGTAAATAAATCTATTCAATCAGTTCAATTTGAAATCTCTTAACATCAATGCAAAACTTGAAGTAATCAGATTAAATAAATAGATTGTCATAACTTGTATAATCCAACAGACACATGTACACTCACTCGGATTATCGGCTATTCATAGTACAATACGTTTAAAAAAAGAGAATTAACACTGAAATGAATGAATTAAAGGAGATTACTACTTAAGATCAATTTAGTAACAACAACAACAAACACACAGATACACAAATTAACAAACATACCAATAGGCATGCATGCACACAGTAGTAGAAAAAACACTTCAAAAGAAACTTATACAAACAATGTTACGATAAAAAGCTTGTTCATAGAAAAACAAAATTCCAAGAACTGATGGACACTGATGAAAACAGAGATGAAATGAAATAAAATAAAAATCCTAAAATTGGTTGTATTAAACATTTTAATGATTACATGATTTATATTCATTCAAACATTGAAATGAAAGATTCAGCTGAGGAAAAGAACACAATAAATCAATCGATCAATTTTAAATCATCATTAAGAAACCTGAAAGCACTCACTGGACAGCTGTCAAGTCCTGGTATGGGACTAATCAGCAGTGTGCATCTACGACTGCTGCTATCCTCAGGGTTCAAACCGAGGACCTTCGGTCTAATGCACAAACGCTTAACCTCAGAACCACTGAGCCGGCATCTAACAGTGTTAATGTCTAATTTTGATCAATCTAAGGACTTGCACAATCTCATCCAGTCTTCGGTGAGCATCTCAACAGGGTTCAACTGCACTGGTCACTTCTCACTAGAACTCGGAGGAATCTGCTGACGAAGCGAGTCACTAGTGCGCACATGATAATTTTCAAAATAGCGTTGTGGGGATTGTTGAGTTACTTTGAAAGCATGAATCGATCAATGTTAGATCACCATTATAAACCTGGAAGCACTGCTATCGGACTCATAATCTAAAACTTCTAGTCAGTTGCACCAGTGGATCAATCAATCAATCAATAGCAACGTAGTACTTCGTATGTACGTATATCAGTTCACGCTGCCATACCACATTATCATACAGACACAGTCGTAAATTCAAATCAAAGAGTAGTAGAAGTATTAGCAGTAATCAAGAAGATTAGGGTTCGAAAATATCACTCAAAACGTAAAATTCAGTGAAATGAAATTAGAGAGGAAGATAGAGGAGATGAAGAATCCAGAGGATTTAGATTTGAAAGAACACAAAGAATGGATGCACTTGCGCCATTACAAAAGGTTTTGAGCCATGTCATTTAAGGTCGCTAACCATCGATTACTATCATTTCGCAGGCCACAACCAGGTAGTCTACACTTATCAGTGACTTCATGGATTTGTGCCATGTCTTGGTTCGGCTAACCCTA